CAGTTGATTCGATAAACAAAGCTTCCGTTGTTATCAATCTCTCCCTCGCTCCACCCTGTGACATTAGATTTTAAAACTGTCATCCTATCGCATCCTATTGCATGGTTGTGTGTAATTGCATGTAGTACTTGAGATAGCTGAACTATTCTCTAGATTTCTTATCTCATTCGGATCAACCAATCTAGATTTTGCTAAGTTTTTGTGTTCCGCTTGTCTGACTGCGCCTGTCCTACTACTTTCACCTATGTATTTGACCTGACAATCATTGCAGGCAGGGTATTAGATAAACTAAATTGTTTTGTTTTAAAGGCTCCACAGGATTGATCTTTTAACCGACAAAGCTTGTTTCTAATTGAGTTTGTGGGTTTAAATGCCACTTTTATTCCTGCCTTGTTAAGAATTCTGCGTAAGGTTTCCGAGGTTCCCCACTTGCATGGAATTACTACTGATGATTTAGATTCCGTATTGTTGGTGTTGTCATTATCTTGCGCATGTTTGACATGCATGTCGTCATTAATACTATTAATACCACTATCGCAGGAATAAAAGCGTCATTCAAACACAAAAACTCAATTAGAAACAAGCTTTGTCGGTTAAAAGATCAATCCTGTGGAGCCTTTAAAACAAAACAATTTAGTTTATCTAATACTCTACTGGAGTGATTGTCAGGTCAAATACATAGGTGAAAGTAGTAGGACAGGCGCAGTCAGCAACTCACATAAAACTCTTATTTTTGTGAAAGAAAACTATTGCAATTATTTGCCTTTCAAACACTGAATCGTTGGGTATAATATTGTCGATCGATAATGCCTATAACTATCTATTTGCCACTCTGTGCTTGTGTTATAACACAAAGTAATATCTTTAATTGTATATATTGATGGATTTACATGTTCAACTTGGCTCAAGTCAGTGAGTCTATGATTTTGGTATCATTTTGGTTAACTGTACTTGATAATTATTATGATTATTATTGTATCCTTTAATTCCTAGAGGAACATAGGGCTCCAACCGTGAGTCTCCATTGCGTTCGGTTCTCTGCTAGAGTCTTCACCTCGCTCCAAGTCAGCCAACGTGCTTTCATCTCCTCTTCACATGACCTCCTCCAAGTCACCCACCCTCGCACTGACGACCAACTCGCCGCTTCCCTTTCGGGTTCCACTCGAGCAATGGCTTGTCTAGTGATGTCACTTGATGGTTTCCTCAGAGTATGGCCAGCCAATCCATCTCCATTTCTTCCTGCCTATTTGTTTCACAATCGGTTCCTGCTGAGTTGGTTCGCTCATTGCCAGAGATCTCTGTTGCTGATCTTTTCTGGCAATCTGATCTGAGTAAGTATTGAGCGAAGACAACTGTTAGTGAAGATCTGTAGTTTGCTTGAGATGCTCTTTATGACGCACTGGCCAAGTCTCTGATCCGTATAGCAAGCAGCACTGACTTCACATTGGAGTTGAAAATCCGGGTCTTATTTTTGATGCTGAGTGTTGTTGACCTCCACACAGACTTGAGAGTAGTGAAAGCTTGTCTTGCTTTTCCGATTCTTGCTTTGATATCCTCATCAGTTCCGTCCGCCTGTAGTTGAAACGATGCTTCCCAGGTCGGTAGGTAAAAGAGGTTGTTTCTTTCAGGTTCCTCTCATATATGCTGATCATTGTCTGTTGTTGTTGTTCTTGTCCAAGAATCTTCATCACCTCTGTTTTCTCTATGTTCACCTGAAGTCCTATCTTGATGCTTCTTCTATCGCCAACTTGTTGCTTTTCGCTTGCATATCTTCCAGTTTGTGGGAAATCAGACATATATCATCGGCGAAGTCCAGATCCTCCAAGTTTTTTGTGTGAGTCCATTTTATGCCTGTTTCCTCATTGCCCGCTGTTTGTCGCATTATCCAATCTACTGCAATCAGGAAAATCATTGGCGATAGTAGGCAGCCAGCCAGCTTGTCTTACTCCTGTCCTCACTTCGAAGGATTCCGTGAGTTTCCCGTTGTGGATTACTTGGCATGCAGCATTGTCGTATAGCTGTTGGATGAGATGTATAATTGTCGGTGGCACCCCGTAGTAGCGAAGTAGTTGCCAAATCACCTCTCGATCGACGTCTGTCGAAGGCCTTTTCAAAGTCGATGAAGTTGAGGTAGCGAGGTGACTGCCATTCCAAGCTTTGTTCAATGATGATCCGTGATGTGGCGATTTGATCAATACATGACTTGTTTCTCCTGAATCCAGCCTGTTCCGGTCGAAGTTTTTCATTCAGCGCATGTTTGATCCTCTCCAGAATGATGCGGCTTAGTACTTTGCTTGGGATGGACAGGAGCATAATTCCGCGCCAGTTCTTGCATTGACTTAAGTCTCCTTTCTTTGGTAGTTTGAATAGGTATCCTTTCTTCCAATCCTCAGGTACTTTTCCTTCTTTCCACACCTTCTCCAGTAGTGGCGTCATCAAGTCCGCTGTTGTCTCTGGGTCCATTTTCAATGCTTCTGCTGGGATTCCATCTGGTCCTGCTGCTTTTCCAGCTTTTAGCATCTTGATTGCCTTCAGGACTTCTGATTTCGTCGGGGGATTGGTGTTCACTGGTAGCTCTGTCTCCGTTGTTGGTATTGTTGGGCGCGTTGCCTGCAGCTTGTTCTGCTTCACTTCCCATGGTTTCATAATACTTTCTTTTGTCTTCTCTGACACTCTTCTTTACTCTTTTGTTCAGTGTCTTGTAGCTTGCATTCAAATTCTGTTTTTGTTGCTCGTCGCACCGAGCACTGGAGAATCTTTTGTTTCACCATCCCTCTCTCTTCTATCAGTCTCCAAGTGTCCGTAGTGAGCCACTGTTTGTCCTGTCTCTTCTTCCTGCCTAGAACTTCCATGCAGGTTTGACTCCACACTGTTTTCAAGTTGTTCCAGTGCTTTTCGACGCTGACCTCTTCGCTGGTGTTGATTTGTGTCTCGGCTTTGTCCTTTATGCTTGCAGTGAAGATGTCCTTTGTGTCCTGGTCCTTCAGTCTTTGAGTGTTGAACTTGGCTTGTGGTCTATCTGCAGCTCCTGTTTCTCTGAAAGCTTTTAATTTGATTTGGATTGTGCCTTGTACGAGATAGTGGTCTGAGCCAACGTCTGCTCCTCTTCTTACTTTCGTGCCCAGTAGGCTGCGCCTCCACTTCCTTGAGATTGAGATGAAGTCAATTTGGTTTTCGGTTCGCCCATCTGGTGACACCCATGTAGCCTTGTGGATATCTTCGTGTTTGTATACGCTGCCACCATGATATTTTGTGAGTTTGTTTGAGTCATAGTATTGGATTGGTTAGCTGCTTTTTGTCTAACCGCTATCCAAACAACCTTTTCGGCATAGTAGGACCTACAGGAACATAAGTTCCACCCAGTGTAGCTCGTTGGGTCATTGCGATATGCAAGCCCGACTACCACGTCAAGGTAGCAGCTATCGATCGGGAAAGACTCACAGATATTCGACATTTGTTATCAGCTCGCATGAAATTCTAATGGCAATCACATATCATATTACCTATCAGTCGCAGAATAATAGCATAGAAATATTCAACTGTGGAGTTTCCCAAAGTAATTTTACCACTGTGTCTGGCATTCCCAAAACACATTTCGAAGTGTCGTTTACATCTACCTTACTGAAGAAGCATGATGTATTACTGAAAGAATATTTTGTCTGTCACTTAAGAAGACCAATTTTTGCTTAATGACAACAAACTCTGATTAAGGAAAGATAATATTGTCCATTAATGTGATGAAACGGTCAACAGTATGAAGGTGTAAATCCATCTCTGAATGTTGTTGCAGCTCCTGTATATTAATTCCAATGAAAATGTTATTTGCACTCTAGAAATTTACAAGATTAATTGTTAGGAATGATGTTTTATTGTGAAACATCCACTTTCTATCCATTCTGACCAGATGAACAAGAGAATCATCTTTTGAAAATGAAAATCTACGCAAAAGAAAGAAATCTGATTCATTCACACTTTCATACTGGAACGACGTGCGTGAATGGACTACAGTAGGCGCGTTGTTACTAATACATGTGTAGAGTAATACTTCACTTGAGTATGATTATGATTATCAGAAGTAGCAAGGATCATGTTGACTGAAAAATATGTTATTTTGCACCCCGTTGTAATTCTCTTAAACACTTACACACGTTGCACAAACATTGAAAACATTATCATGGAGAACATTGGAATAATGTTCAAATTAAAAATTGGTTTGTTTACATTGATGTTTTGCTGCAGGAATGTACATGAATAAAGATCATTATGGAGTATCACATTCAGTGTTATCAGAGTGTTTATTGACGTAGTCTCCCAACAATTATATAAATGTCACATGTGTGAATACTTGAGCAGTATATTGGAATAGGAGACTGTGAGTTTATCAGCTTGTCTCTTACGTAAACCGATGTAATTGACTGATGTGCACGAATACCATAGGTTTTGATATTCGAAATGATAATTTATTTCACATTATGGTATGGCATGGTCATTTGTAATATTCGGATGATAATTATTATTATTCTCTGAGTTTCCAAGTGGAACATAAGCCTTCAAACGGACAATTACATTTCATCTTGTTTTCTCCAGTTTTCTTCAGTTGGCTCCACGGTTTCCCATTGGCTTTTATCTCCTACTCACACCATCTTCATTTAACCCTCTAACATCCAACGCCCATCCTCTTTCCACTCCAGGGCCTGATGCGTCGTGTGAAACTAGTGGGAGACAATTTGCTTGTTGAGTCATATACTCATATTTGTATATCAGATTTGAAGAGTGATCCGTGGACCAAATAATGAATTCCACCTTATCCACATGTAAATGAGCATATATGTGTAGCTCACAGTAATGATTCTCTCAAAGTTGTTTTATGATAATCTGTAGACTCATTCGTAGCGTACATTACTTAGTGTTTCGCGTGTTGATGTTCTTTGTGGTGTGCAATGATGAATAATTATGTCAATCATTTTCAGATTTACAAAGGAGCCAGGAATTATTAGCTAATGATGTGGTTCACAGCTGGTGATTCGATGGAGACTGTCGAGTGAGATAACATTCCAACCAATACATTTCGATTTCAGTAAAGTCACTGATGAAAGAAAAGTAGAGCCATTGCCTATTCTGATTGTGAAGATTGTACTTGGGTAAGTACGTGCATATACATTTCCATCTACTTTTCAAAATTAAACTGCTCACTTCCAACAGATAAGATTTAATACGGTGTGAAATATTCCCATATCATGAATTAAAGTAAATTTGAACGAAAAATATTCTTTTCAATATTTACTCTTCAGGTTCTCACAATTATGAAATATAATATTTGTTGTTGTTACAATAATAGCTAGTTATGCGGCGGATACATTCTCTACGTAGAATAACAGATTAGTTATAGGGTGTCAAAATACATAGTCGTATTTGTATGACAAACGTGCAATTTGGCTGAAATCGATTACAAAATATTTCTGTGAAATGGGAGACAATAGTAATGATTTATATATATGTCCAAACGAAGTTCATTTTTAACAGTTTGAAAAAAATTTCGGCACTGTGATATGATATTCACTATAATAAAGGGTTTTATATTTCCCAATGAATGAAATACAGAACGATATTGTTTGTAAAAACAATATCAATCCAAGTTTGTCTACGGTAGGAACAGCGTCTGGACCGGTTGTTTTGGATACAAAGTTCCGGTTCAGTCGATATTATTCTCACCAACAGTGCATCTTCCCCTCAACCCTCTTGGTTTTCTTTCTTTCTTTGCTTATTATTACAATTATTATTATTGTTATTATTATTCGTCATAATTCATGCCATTCATTCAAACATTCTCTCAATACTATCGGATTTTCCATTTATACTATCCGGACGTGTAATTACTGCAAAGAATATTCTTCGTTCAGATTGACTTGCAACTGATAAGTTGAGCAGTAGACAGTAAACTGATCATGGAGAGTATGGAGAAATGGCAAGTTTCAAAATGTCGGAGATGGATTCTCATCCTGACAACCTTTTTCTGCTGACTTCTACTTAAATGAATTAAAGTTATTTTATGGACAGTGAGATCATTCATGTCATAGTGGGTTGTAATTATCATGTACCTTATGGGTTCTTCTAATATTCATTGACTGAATGTGTTATAATTTCGGTGAAGTAAGTGAGACAGGAGGGTGAAAGTGTATGAATTTTCCCAATTTAACAAGACATCCGTCAATGTTATTAATTTCTCTCTAGGAAATCTTTAGTTAATCTTACTGTTTGTAGAATGGTGCATATTAGACGTATTTGAGTACCACATTGTCTATGGAATCACAAGTTCAAAGGAAATTAACAAAGTTTCTCATTAGAGTAGAAATGTGTAGAATGTTTTCTTTCTTAAAGCATATTTTTGATCAAGTTTCAACTGTGATGTATGTTGAAATGTCCAAGGACGGATCCTATCACAATGATCGTATTACTTCATCGATAAGTGATCATTGTATGAACACTGAGTTATACCAGACGTTGCTGTCTGAGCACAAACTGATCTGTTATTGCTTCTGATGAATTCATTGATGCCACATTGTTTTATTCATTTCAGAATCTTTGGTTTCATTATGAACCTGTGCGTACTACTTACTCTGACATTACGACTGAAGTACCGAATTTACATCATTATGATGACATTGGCAGTAAGTTATGAACTGATGTAATTGTTTCGTGAATGATTCTCTTGTAAATGTAGACTGAAATGCAGTTGTAATTTTCATTGTTAACTTGGAGATTTCAGTTGTTGGACACCTTCATTTAGCCAGTATACATCTCGTGTAGGGGAAGTTGTTGAAATCATCAGATTCGAGAGTTGCAATTGTAATCTATTCACCACTCAGCTTATTACTGTGCAACTGATATTGATTAACAACATGAAAGAAGGTTTAAAGAAAGTCTCTAGGTATTATTTCCTCGACATATCAGTGTATAGTAGACTCAGTGTATCACGCCCTTGGCATTACTATTCCAACGTGGTTCTTTGTAATCGACTTCTCGGAATATACAGACATCATGGTGAGTGGTTGACGTTGAAGAAATTATAAGGCTAAATGAAGAGACTGGCTGCAGTTAAACTGGATCATCTTAAGTGTATGAAGTGAAATCGATTTAAGGGAAAACTACTGGTATATTACTCTTCACAGATCACAATTAATTCCAAACTACCTGCCAATGTCCGCAACATTAAGTTGTCCTCTGAAATGAAACGCACTGTAGACATTTAGCCATACACGTGGATATTTGTTTACAAAAACATGAAGACAACACGTGACGATGCAGAAACCGTCATGATTTTGACACCAAATCGACAGATTGCCATGATCGGAAATTCAAGGACATTGGAGATCACATCGCTGCTTACTGTTCTGAAGTTAGATGACACTCTGATCTCTTCAGTGAATGCAACCGCAATGATGACTACCCTGTCACATTTCCCAACAAATATGCGCTGACTTCAGAAATGCTTTCAGCAATGAAATGTCATAATGTGAATGACCGCTATCGATGTAACATGAACACACAAAGCAAAAGTGTCGAATCTTTCTGCACAACAAGTTAAAATCTATCTATTTTTGATTGTGTTTTCTAGATCCTTTCATGGACTGTCGTTGATTGTATATTGTGTTTTCAAACTGGCATAATAAACAGCTTGATTTCTTTCGTTATAACGGCTGTCATGGCTTCACTAGCAATTTTTCTTGGATTCAAATCAAAGCATTTTACACCGAGGGGATATGCTGTGTTCTATGGAATGCTTGCGGTATTCTGTATCTTAGGATGCATCTTCTGCATTATATCTGAATACTACCATGTGAGTGTTTAATGTGAACTGCGAATTTTACCCCACATTTTCCTAGTGTATATACGCATGTATGAAAATATATCTGGAAAGTTTGCAACTGGCTAAGTATTGTGTTGCTTCTATTTGCGTAATGCATAGTGACGAGTTCACGCCCATTACATAGTTAGTGAATAGCGAATTCTCAAGCCATTCCTTGCGTTTTGAAAATTGACTGAATGCTTGACGAACGATCTCTGCTAGCTACTAAATCCAAACTAACTAACTGTTTGTTGGAATCAGGAATTTCTTCGAAATTCCGTTTCGAATGATAGTTTCAGTTACAAATCGAAACAGTTCCTTTATGCCATTTGTATCTAACCAACGATTCATAAATTTTCACACTAATTCTTATTTTGTTTGCTTTCAAATTTTAGTTTCCATATAATGTACTAGGCGCCATATTCCTTGGTTGTGGAGTAATGCTCGTGAGTTCCAAACATTTTTCCTGAGGATGTTATATTGACACTTTTCAATGTGTAATCTATGTGATTATCCTCATTGATAGTTCTCATCATTGTCAGTTGACCATATTTACTCAGCTGATCTCCACATTTGTAGCTGGATTTTCCTTTGTGCTAATTATAGTTAGATATAAGTATTGCGCTGATGTATGTCTTCAAAGAAACATAGAAAATTTGTGTGCCTGTGTCATTAGGAAGGTCAGTGAAGAGGAAACGCAACACGACTGTGGAGATGCTGTAAGAAATAAAGTGAGATCAAACAGCAATGTTGCTGACAGACATCTTGCGGAATGGATGATATTACTTTCAATTTGTGAAACCAGTGTAGGCTTCATGATTTTCGTGATGTCTGTTGATTTCTGAATACTTGTTCTCACCAGGACACATCTCAATTGGTGTAACTGTTAATGAGGCATATCAGGTGATGTTTAATTTCGATATTTCATTATCATGAGAAACCGTCCACTAATGAAATCCACTGAGCTTGTATGGGCCTCATCATTCAAAGATGCATTGAGATTGCATTTAATAAAACAGACAAAATGTTTATTCCTCATATTCACTCCGAATCTTTGCAATTTGTGTTATGATATTTGCAGACAATATACTTCAAAACAGTGTGGTTAAGGTATTCCAAAGAAGAAGTAGTAAGATGGAAGATATTTATAATCTACATTGAGTTGTTCAATTTTCTGGGACTATTCATGGTATTCGCCAATTTATTCGATTACACCAAGTCAAGAGGAATAAAGGTTACTAATATTGTGTCATTTTCTACCTTTGATGATACCTGAATAAATAAACAAGTAGTTGTATACGCTGACTTCTGTTGTAAAGTCAAGAATTCTCAATATCATTAATTTCGTTTCACTGCTTCAGAAAGTGATTTCAAAAATGATCTTCACGTGTTTGAGTTTGTAACTATAACTGTTATCACGATAGACAATGTGACGACGTTGTTATATTTGTTAAATCTTGTGAAAAATTTACTCTCTCTTCACATTCCTGGCGACCGAATCCTCCACCAAATTAAATGTCTACCTGTATTATTTGTCGAGAAAAGTTTTTGTGCACACTTATTACATCCCATGAGTGAATTTAATCGTGTCATTTGGTTTGAACAAAAACGTATGCGTAGACAATTTCACCACCTTGTGAAATCATAATCACATGTCATCTATATTAACGCCATTGTGGCATGCAAGTACATCTGCACTTCCTCGGTATTGTTAATAGTTTTCAGATTGTCCAGGTGTCCGAATCAGTTGATCACATCGGTTCGTTGGATTAAAACAAATTCCTCGTACACGCTGTCGTAAAACCACGATGGGAGAATTGTACACTGTGAGGTTATTTCATATTCTGACAATAAGTGACTCATTTCAGTTGTTCACATTCCTCCACCTCTGAAATGACAATCATGAGATATTGTAAATATGGCGAAATTGGAATGATAGTACTCTGTTCGTGGAAAATCTGTAATTAGAAGTGATCCTTCACAGTTTCTGGTTTTGTTATGCAGTAATTTCTTCCTTATATTATAGTCAAGTTACTAATGAATTCGCTGAATATCGTTGACCATAGCTCTTACTTGGCTTCTCTGAGGCATTAAGCTTTAATAGTTTATCGAATATTGTATCACAAACAGTCGACACTTCGAGATGATAGAAGAACACTCATGTGAGGAATGTACACCGGCATAAGGCAGTGAGATTACATCATACAGAAGGATAAAATACAACAGTGTCGCAATCATTTATACATTTTAATTGTGTGTATTAAGTTTCTTCGTTACTTATCACCCCATTGACATATTGATACTGACTAATTATTGTTAACAAACATATCAGTGCCACTTGATTGGGAGATTGTTGCGTACTGTAATAAAAATGCTATACATGTATATTAGAGCAGAGCCAGAGATGAGGATCTAATTGAAAAGTGAAGATTTTTTCTCTCAATAGTTTTCCTTTTCTAAATGTCTAAATGGGGATAATTTCTATTTTGAATTCTTCGGAACAACATTTTGAGTGAAAGGTGTTCATTGAATATCTGAAGTAGAGCATAAGGCTGAGTGAAGCGAGAATTTCTTTGCACTTCATTCTCGAGTGCATTGAGGGAATGAGTATTCATCAAACTCAGGAAGCTACACTGTTGAGAGGATTTGATTGTTTTGATGTTGAATACCTGAGGATGTATTGTAAGATGCGATGGCACTCATTGGCCAAGTTATACTTGCTGAACATTTTGAGGAATATTCAGTATATGTTAATATGGACTCAAGCCTCTCCCTTCTAGTTTATGACTATTCGTGATTTTCAGAGATAAAGTTTGTCTGGGTGATTCTATTCGTTCTGAATTCTGTAGGGAATAATTGGATATCACCTAGGTTGAGAGTAGCTGAGTGTAAAAAGAAGTATTCTTCGAAATCTTTCGTCATACGAATTCTTTCGAAGATCTAAAACCAGTATTTTTGACTTCTGATAGACAAATGAATAACCAAAGTTATCCAACGTCTTAAGGACTTGGAAGTATTCCGTATGTGCAGCAGCTGCATGTGATACCCTCCGACAAAATTTACCTAGCGATTATCTATCTTACTATCCAATATTATCTTATTGTATCGCAGATACACCTTACTGAGGAGGCAATTCAAAGATAATTTGCACGCCTTGACTAACATTCATAACTGAAAATTCAAATTATCATTTTGTGTCTGCTTGATCGATGGAAGGTTATATAATGATGAAAAAGTATATTGATTGCTATGCAAGCGACTACTTATTGTTTGAGCGTATGGAGCTATGAAAAGGTTCGTTGTTTATATTCTCTTTTCGCTTTGAAGTTTCTATGAAAATTAGATTGATCTGCAGGTGTAGGGCCACTGGCCTCAAGCCAAACATTCTCTCGTCTCCCGGACTTAGAACCGGCTAGAAAACGAGCGAAATAATAAACTAGGCGAGATTACCTACGAACACTAGTGACATGCCAAACCATTGTGGACTGGATTATGCGACAGAAAGCGGGCTGACAGAAGATAGGAAAAGGTTTTTCTGGTAACAAGTGTCTAGAATTTGTGAATTTCATTGACGACTTATGCCCAGTGTCACACATGCTCTCAGATTTATGTGCGTAAACCAAAAAAATGGTTGAAGAAGCCAGTAGCGAAGACAGGAATTCAAGTGAAAATAACGAAGACGGAGGCAATGAAGAACAACCAACCAGCAATTACTACCAACGGAATAAACTCGCAAGAAGTAACTTTCTCCACTTACATACGAATTACCGTTTCAATTATAGAGAGTGGCACGGATGACGATTCACAAACCAGAATCGGTAA